AACGGGGCACCTGGCACCATCTGGCTGGGTAGCACTACGACACATTGTTGGAATCATATGGAACGTGAACAAATCCTTTGAATGCATTGGGCACTTGAAGAAGCGGAAAAGGGGCGGCATGCCGTCATTCCCGCAGGGGGTGGTCTCTGACGGGGGTGGAAGAGGTGCCCGTGAGGTTGTCAACTCCAGTCTTGAGTCAGTCAGAAAAGTAAAAGGATACGTTTAAAAAGAAGTTCCCAACTTCCAACTCCAAATCCTTCAGCATCTGGCTTTGGGCCACCAAAAAAACAATTGAAAAAGACATAAAGAAACTCAACTCAGTAGGAGCCCTGGATCCCGCCGTCCCCATCTCTTTTTTTCACAGCACCTGGATGTACTTGTCGATGAACATCAACGCCTCAGCTCGGGGGCACCGGGTTTGAGCTCACAGCAGCGGCGAGCGCTGCGTGCTCTTCTTCATCACAGGCATTTTCCATGGCCCCACGCCATTAAAGAGAACTTGTTGGGGGGGAGCTTCTGTCTTGGGGCTACTCTCCGATCTGCTCATCATGGTCGTAACAGCACCAGTGCGTTTGGATGGATCTCTTGGATTGTCAGGATGGTTTAGTGGTTAATCCAGGAACCCTGCCTAGTCCCCAGCACCAAGGATCAGGGATAGTCGGAACGAGTTGGCCCGCGTGCTTTCACTGAACTTGGAAGACATGAAGACAGTGCCACAAGCAAGATCGAGCGATTGATGTTTGCCAACAAATCCCCATCCCCCCCCCTCCGCCCCACACAGCACGAGCACGAGCACGAGAAAGCCCATCTGAATGCCAAGGGACATTGGGCACGTTGTGGTCCCCCAAATGGACAATCGAGGAACCGACCCAACCTGGTCAGTCTGCAGAGACAGGCCACTTTGAGCGACTTGAAGAAAATCGTCGCATCGGATGCATCGTCTTTGACACTGATAAAGGGACCAATTCATCAGACTGGTAGCTTTTGGCTTGGAACGTGGTGTGAAATCAACCTGAAATGATCATGAGGATATCTGGGGTCTTCCTGGATGGATGTAAAAAAACACCTGGTGTTCCAGGTTTCCTATGTAACAACCAACCTGGTCTCGCTGTCCGGGGCTCTGTCTCAGTCCACGAAGACTGGCCAACAAATGTCGGCGATCATAGATTTCTTCTGGATCGTATTGAGATTCGTAGAGTGCCTGTAGTTTTTGCCCTGTCCTGGGTCGAAATGGCAATACGAATTGAACTTCAACTTGAAGACAAACAGTCAGATGGAGAGCAACTCCCAAATCGGAAAATTGGGGGTTTGTTCCGCAAGCGGAGCATGGAAAAAGCGAACGAAAACACCGCATCGAAAAAGCGAACGAGACCGAAACGAACGAAGCGAAACAAAGACCGAAACAGGAGGCCCGACCTCCTGTCGGGGTGCCCTGTCTGGAAGCCGAACGTGCGGGGATCGTGTGGGGTAGTCCAGCCAGGACACCCCGAGGGTCGGAGGGTCCAGGTACACTCCCTGATACTGAAGCCAAACTTCCTGAAGCTCAGCCGGCACGTCTGTGAGGTAATCACAAACGGGATCCTCCAAAATGTACGACCCAGGCTAACAAGCAGCGCTTGGCTAACCTACTCATGTTCACCAAAAACCAACGCCCATAAAGCCACATATTTCAACGCCACCCTGGGATGCTTTCCCATTTCTTTTTAAAGAGGCGCGTTCCAGCACCCAAAAAAACCGTGCTGGATCTGTTGCCCCTTTCGTACCTCCCACTTTCCGCTGCACATCTGCCAAGATCTTCTGCCTCAGCGGCCGACCCCACCGGATCCGACCGATGAAGCACCCGGAGGGAAGCGATGAAGATGAGGAGTTGATCGTGGCACCGGAGGGTACCGGGGGAGTCCAAGAGGTGTAGGAGTTCTTCCTTCATTTTGGAATGCTACTGAATGTATCTGAATATATATATATATATATATTTACATAGTAGGGTGGGAACTTGCTGTTGCAGACACACCCATTGGTCATGACACCCGGTGCTTGAAATTCCTCCCGAGCAAAAAGAGCGGAGTTTGGGCGCTGCGCCGCAGCGGCGACCGTGGTCCCGCGCATGGCCACCACACTTCGAGTGGACTTTTGCACCTTAGCTTGATCAAACGATAGGGTGATGGATGGTGAAAAGAGCAACCACTTGGAAAGGATGCAACCTCCAATCCCATTGGCCGGATGCACAGCGTGTAGAAGTTGGTCCGTCAGCAGTAGCTATTCAGAGCACAAAGGTGGAATGAACCCAAATCGTCCCTTTGGTGCCCAAGGAATCCACACCCATCAAAGTGGGAATGATGCCGAGGGTAACTCTGTATAGAAACACCGAATTCGCTGCAATCAAACTGATCAACTCAGGAAACGGTCGGCTGCCAAAAATTCACACAAGCCATAAGCAGGGATCGACACCCCTCTTCGGTCTCTAAGTGTTGCTGGGACAAATGTTGCGCCACCCTTTAGCCCACTGGTGCAGACATCTTCCTTCAGACCTTCATGCCATGTTCGAAGAAACCGCGAAAACCCGCGCGGAGCCACGGTCCGCCAGGGCACGCGTTGGTATCCCTGGCCAGTGTCAGCGAGCTGATATTGCTGCTCATCGTCTAACAAGTCCTCGCACCGATCGGAACACCCAGTCATCCCAGAGAATCGTTTGTGGTACTTGGTTGACTTTAGGTGGGATCCCTCCTGGTTGGGCAAACAGGCAGTTTGAGGACAGGAGATCCTATGAGCGCTCACAACGCTTGCGCATTCTTGATATGCCTGCCATGTTGTGAAAGAGAGGTACGTGGTGTGACCACCCATCGCCGGCATTCCACATGCTACGGCCTCTTCCGCCATGTGCCACAACTGGAACATGTTGTCCAAGACCTCACGGGGCGATGGGCGACCGTCACATGGAGTTCCACCATCACAAAAAAAGAAGTGACGAAAGACAGTTTCACCTTGAGGAGTTGCTTTAGAAGAAATCGCTGTGTGGGATGGCCACTGGCCCTGCTGGCCCAGCTATGCCCAGCTGGCCCAGCCTCTCTCCACAAAGTCATTGACTGCAGGACGAAGGTGTACTGCCGGCTGTGCGGATGCGAAAGACCTGAGAGAGCAGAAAGCGTGTGCTGCGCACGTCATCCCCTCACACTGGAAGGCTATGAATTTGTTAGGAGAAAGCAGACCCGGGCCCCCTACTTTTCAGCAAATCACTTTTGATTTTGGCGCCCCTGGGCCAGGTTCCCGTGAAGCATTTTGCCTTTGAACCAGGTTACCTCGGCAACTAGTGTTCTTCAAAAGTTGGGCTTGCCGATTTGCTCTTGCGTCAAATGTCGGGAGTGCCAAGGCGAGAAGCGCTTTCGCTTGTGGCAGGTGCGTGGCCGCGTGGCAATAGGAGTCGCTTCGGCTTCTTCCAAGTCCAGGATGGAGAAAAGTCAGTGGGAGCACTAAAAGGCCAAGCCACAGGCGGAGCCGCCCTCACATGAACTCACGCAAAACGCTTCAAGGTGGTTGGGGTCGTGGCTCTTGGTTCATATCAAGTCATATCACGTTGTATTACCGCCCTGATGATGAATTGATGTAGGACCTTCTTTTGTGTCAAACGACTGACAACGGCTCCATGACAGAAGTCGCCGTGTTCTTTGAGCTGTGAACAACGCTCCACGAGACCCACCCGCACCATTGTCCACCGCAGCGGTGTGCGTCATCGTCTCGTCGATAAACCCAAAGGAACTTCTCACGCCCTGTGGACGTCACTTAGAGACCCAGATCCCATCCGAATGAAGATGCTGCCTTCAACACCCCCTTACATTCGGTCGCACGAAAGATGTTCATCCGGTTATGTGGCAAGTTGGTGTAACTGGATTTGGAGCCCAAATGGTGACATCATGTACTATCACCCGGAGCAACCGAGCTCAGACTCCGCACGTGCGCCATTCACGCCCTCCTCGATCGCAAGCGAATACCTCAGTGCTCTGGGCAGTACGATGCACCACAGCTTAAGTGGGTTTCTTTGACGGGACTAGAGCACCAAACGGCCTAATGCTTGGTCGATGTTGGTGGTGTGGTCGCCCGTCGACAGCGGTTTCTGGGGGGGAGTCTCCCTCTTTTGGCACAACAAACGTGCCCAAGTGAATTTTGTGCAAGTTGGATTTTAACTTATGGGCACCTTAAGGCCCTGGCACCCAAACAACGAGAACATGTTAAAGCTGCCGCAACAAAGAACACGAAAAGTGGGTGTTCAACGCCAGTCCATGAACTCCAGCCGTCAGGGTGCTTTGTCAAATGCTTGGCCTGAAGTATAGCCGCATAGCCTGCCCTGTCAAACTAAGAAAGAACTTACTTCCTGCCCCATCCCGGACTTGAATTTGGTTCTTGGCCTTGGGATGCGAGCAGAATCCCTTCCTCGTGCTGTTTCTGGCCCTTCCCCCATCTCCTCCGAGCCGCGCCGGGTCGGGGCCCGGATCTTCCGGGTCGAAGAAGTCCTGGACCACTCGGGACCGGATCCGGCGAGTCGTGCGAGGGTCTGCACCATCCGTCCGAACTGAAGGGCGGATGGTGAGAGGAAAAAGAAGAGAGGACGCGGCACGACTGGCGCGTCTGCTTCACGCGGGATCTCAACCTGTAGAGGGAAAGATCTTACAGGTTGCTTCGCCGATCTGACGTTCCCCCAAACTTCCATGAGTGTAGTCTCCTTCAGCAAGCTAATCAGCCGATCGCAAGGCTCCCGATTGAACCTGGCCGATTCGCCGCAGGCGAACTGGTTGAGACTTGTGAGGAGCTCCGATACTTCGGAGCTTGGGGCAAGCCGGGCAAGTGCCTTCGCAATGGAGAACCACTTGTGAAAGCAAGAAAGATGTCATCTGGCAAACAAGCATGGAGAACTGGCCGAGTTCATAGGTCCATGTTTCTTTGAGCAGGGTGCCTCTATTTGGCTAGCCAAGGACTTTTGTCTTCCCTAGAAGCCAAGCTGGGAGATAGTGAACACCCAAAGAGGCATCCGGCAGGTCATTCTTAGCTCACCCAAGCACTAGCACCCAAATCTCAAAGCCTTTGTCTTATCAAAATGGCTGACATCCAGAATCTCTCCCTACTCTCCATCCTATGATCAACGCAAAACTCCATCATGATCCCAAATTGCCACTTCGTCATACATCCAAATGTTCTCACAGATCGCACAGATCGTCAACTTCTTGTTCGCCCACCGTCCTCCACCGATTCTACCGTGCTTTCCGCGTCCCTTTTTCCCTCACATCTGCGGGCGCCGCTTCCGGCCGTGCCCCTCGCGCTTCCGCAGCGCATGCTCCAGCGCCGGGCCGCTTACGCGCAGCGTGCGGTCGATGGGTGCGCCCCCGGCCGTGTCTGCTTGGCGGTCGAGCTTCCGGCGCCGGGGAAGCACTTGCAGAAGCCCGTCACGGGCACGGACCATGGTGGAGACCTGGTGGACGGGCTGGAAGCGGGCTTTCTAGATGGAAGATGTTTTTGGAGGTTGAGACTTCTTGGGCGCTTGCTTTGAGGGTAGAGGTGGGGAGACAACTGGGGTTCATGCTGTCTACAATTGTAGATTCGTTCCTTCTTCCGGCAGAGATCAAGGTGGATGGAATGGTGGGTCTCCTGGGCTAGGTGGGATGAACACGGGCCTTTTGGGCGTCAAAAAACATCATGCTGAAGCTGGGTGAGATGGCCTTTTGATGATACACAATACTCATTGCAATACGTAAACTTCTTTGGTGGGTCGTATCAGGAGCCTCTAGTTATTCGAGTTGCTGGGAATCATCCCTCAGAATTGACTGATGGCACATCCCCTCAAACCCTGCAGCTGAACGTAACTCAGGGACAAGGATTTCCCCAACATGCGCGATGGAATTATGGAGGGCGACATAGATGAAAGAACGAGTCGGAACCAAGTATATACTCAAGAAGTAATCAGTAGACAAAGACTCCCAGCTACCTCTTTGTTCAAATCACTCAACTGCCCAGCTCCGCCCGATGTCGCCGAGCCACCGTTTGGGTCTCCGACACTTCCACCTGAGCATCTGGCCTCGTGTTCATCGATGACGCCACGCTGGGAGAACTCCGCCACGCGCGGGGTGAAGGATCTATCGATCCATGTGGACTATCTATCGGTGTGTCATCTATCTGCAGCTACCTATTCAACTCTTGAAGTTCAACACAACGGTTTCTAGTTTGAAGGAGTGTCAGTGGATCAAAGAAGGACATCCAGAACCTCCAGACCTGTCCCGTCTGGAAGTCTAAAACTAGAGTAGGGCTCCAGGCGTTCGACTCACGGTCGGACTCCCCAAGACCTCCACTCTCTCGGACTCACAGACTCGATATTCCAAGCAACTGGCGTACCCAACTGCCATAACTGGACTCCAACACGGTGGAGTCCAAGGCCTTCATCCCTGGATGTCTGGGGGAGATGTGCTTGCAAAGGGGGTCGCCCAGGTACGTCTTCGACGGTGTCTTCCGAGCGGCATCTTCGGGATCCCATGGCCCTTCTTCAGAATCCCGCGCTTCCACAGGAACCTGGCGACGAAAACACGCGGCTTTCAAGAAACGGACCGTGATCGGGCACCAGACCGTGATCGGAAGGAGGGCCTCCCGGGTCTCTCCAGTTGCTTCCAACACATGATACGTGTGAAAATCAAAGTACATGGCTCTTCTGCAGGCTTTTCGCCAGAAAACTCTGCGTTCCTCAAATGAGGGGTCAAGTTCCTACAGGAGAATGGAGAACTGCTCGTTTTGCAGAACACCCACAAGAATAAAAGATCACAAAGCCACTGAGGGCCCAGTTCAACCCATAAACAGCACTTATTGAAGGCTTGGGGTGCGTAAAGCCACCAAGGAAGCCAAAACTCCCTAAGAAGTAATATCACTATCGCGGACTCGGACTCACCTGTCTGGAAAACAAACCTTCCAAAAAAAAAAAAACTGTACGAGTGAGTGTCCCGCACGTACGAGTCATCGCCACGGGCAACGCCCGAGGCCCTCCGGTCGCACCTCATGTGCTTAATGGCTCTCATCCGTCGGTCCAGGCGCTTCATAGCCGCCTTGGTCTCCTTCGAGCCAATGTTCCGCGCGGGCGGCAAACCCAGCCGCTTCTTGAGTTTCTGCTTCACGCTCTTGTTCACCTGCCACAAAAAAGATGAGCAATGCGTTGGTTGTGCTGCACCTTCTATGTTTGGAAGGCCTTTGCAGGGTTGCCTTCCAAATTCAATTGAAGAAAACTCCTTTTTTGTGCCCAAACTACTTGTATAGACAACCAAGGACTGCGTTCTTGAGATGAGGATCCTCACCCAGATAGCAATGCCCCAGCACACTTTTACGAAGTGTTGCGCAACACAGTGGGAGGCCGAGCCGGCACCGCTATGGTCATAAATAATACTCTACACTCTCGACTCGATGGGATTTGATTGATTTTTGATGGGATTTCCAAAACTCTCCAGCTCTACACACGAAAACCTGGTGGAAATTCAATCAAATCGCACTGACATGGTCTCGTATCTTTGCTGGAACGTCCAAGCATCTAAGCCAGAAAAGGGATTAGCGGGATTCACAGATTCGCTGGCACGAGCTTTGGAAAACCCTGTGCAGCCCTTGCTGGATGAAAGAGAAAAACTTAATATCTAACGGGGATGTTTGCTGTTGAAAAAACCAGTCTAGTCCAGGAATCTGTCCGCGAAAACAAATGCAGTGGGTGCCAACATTCGATCTATGATCACCCCATGGTGATGTTGAAGAAATCCCCAAGGGCCGCCACCCGGACAACTCGCCACTGTACAGACTTGGCACGTCCCGTTGGAGGACTTTCTGGAAGTTTTCGATGGCCATGATCTTCTTCACCTTTCGCGACATGTTCCTCACTTCCACTGGCTTCCCCTCCTGCGCACTCCACGAGTCACCAGGATCAGGACCCACTAAGATCCCTAAAAGCCTCCAAGCCACTGGCCGAGTAGTAAGACTGATGGATGTTCCATAACAAACATTGCAAAACATGTGTTAAATTTTGCGAACGTCTTTAAAAAACACGATACTATACGTAATATATAGATATATAGAGGGCATGTTTTTTCTGCCCTGTTTGCAAGTTTGGGTTTTACTTCCACCTCGTCACATACGCTCCAAACTTATCTAAAACACTGTGAATACCAAAAAAACTGTTCTAGGACCTAAACGATACGCATATTCTCCTATTTTCCTGTGCCGATGTCAATGTGTAAAACCAAAGATAAACATTATTAGTTTGACTCGTCTTTGTTCCATATCAAAAATTGCCTGGTAATTTGTATTAAGTTGTTTTTCAATATCGGTCAGGGCTGTTTGGTTTTGAACACTCTCCCCTCGCAACCTGACCTTTATCCCAAAGCACCTTTCTATTGTTCCAATAAAATGTACATGTTATTCTTCAACCTATGTTTTAACTTGCTTGATGTCCTTTTTTCATTGACAAAAAGCAATCCAAATAACACCGATTTCATTGCTGTATGAATTTGGTTTTGGCTGGCATCTGGTCCAAACCAAGAGAAACAAGAACCATGACAAGGCAACCAAGGCAAATATATTTTTTTTGGTGTATATAAAGACATCGTTTTTGGCAATGACATAGAAATCAATCAAACTTCCTGTGCCTAGTCTAGTTCCTTCCCTCCTTAGAAGGAGCTAAGCCAAACAAAACAATTTGACAAGAAAAAACCTTGTGAAGATTGAAGCAGCGTTCCTTTTTGGCACTCAATGTTGAGGCACGCTTGAACGTGTAGAATCTGTGTAGAACACTTTAAGCAAAACAGATACAACCTACTGGAGCAATAGAAACAGTTGCTGATACAGGACACCAGGAAAAGTAAGTTGTTGGCTGGGTAGAAGTTAATTGATGCTGTTGCAACTTGGTCTAGAGTCTAGTTCAATAGCTTTTTCGTAAAGCGTTCCGTTCTTTGAATCTTAATGCTCTTAAGAAGGCAATGTTAAAAAAAAACAACAAAAACCGTGTGAAGGTTGAAGCGGCTTCCTTTTGATGCTCAAATTTAAAAGCATGTGCGCATATAGAAAAAGTTAAGTAAGACATACATAAACCCTACTGCAGCAATTGCAAAACCTTTTGGGACTGCTCACACAAAACCCTAGATTTTTGAGCTATTGTTTTGCTTCAAGTGTTCAGACCAGGCCGGCAAAGGTTTAGAGGGAATACAAAAAATACACAACAAAACACATAATAAAAAAAACCATTGCTTGAGACGAAATGAATGCAAAACCAAAAAGCAATTTAAAAAGAAAAACAACTCCAAATCCTATACCTCTTTTTGTCTCAACCATTTGTGCCTTTGTTTTTTGAATGTGTTTTTGTATGTTGTTTTTGTGTTTTTTCTATTATTGTTTTTCTTGTTTTGTTTTTTTGGTTCTGGTGTATTACCTCTAAACCTTTGTGGGCCTGGTCTGAACAGGTGCTGCCAAACAATAACTCAAAACTTGTTTTTGTCAGTTTTCAGCCAAAGCCCAATGTAAAACACAGAGGATGGTTCATGTCTTGCGTTGACAACAAAACATTGAAGCAAAAAATTGCTCCAAAACCCGGTTTTGGTGACGTTTCCTCCAAAAACCACTGTTAAAACACTGTGTACATTTTCTACACAAAAAACATCTCCCAGGAGCACCCGTTCTGTTTTCATGTGGTTTCTTTTTCACCCTGCGGTAAGCTAATGGCCTTCGATTCATGCTTTTTTGGCAACGATGTGAAACAGGGGCAATGAGAACGATTCCAATGGACATAGGGTTGCCCCTTCCTTGCCCAATTGCATTGCCGGAGTTCACGGCGGGAGGCGCGTCTGACTCCGAACGGCAGCGGAGGCCTGCGCCCTGGAATCTACCCCCGATAGCCTGGCGATCTTCATGGCCGCTCTGTGCTGCGGTGAGCTAACAGGAGGTTCAAAAAAGACTTCGCCGTGGAGGTTCTTGAAGCTTCATCGCGCAGATTACCGCTCAACGGTTTACCAAGGCCAGGGTTCAAGCCAGTCCATGAACTGAAAATTTAACATGTTTAGGGTGCGGGTGCTGCGGATACTTGCTTGAAACCATGCTTTTGGGCTGCGTTGTTTTCTTGACGTGTCCTTTTCTTCCATGCTCCGACGTGCGTTCATCACCGGGCAGCTGCCCCAACAGAACCCATTTAAGAACTCTTCTACCGGGAGGCCAATTCAACTACCCATCTTACCTTGCCATCCAACACCAATCATCGCGGGTTCAATAACTTAGGCGTGCGCAAATTAGATATTAAGAAGAGGATCCCCATGAGAGGTGTCGAAGTTGTATTTTTCCAATGGCCATGGCAAGTTCATCACCCGGTGCATCCGTAGCACCAAGCATGGCAAAAAGAGAAAGCATCTAGAAACACCTAGGCGTCAACGCGACAATCTCTACTCATCGCAGTAGCTCGATGACTGGCTGCTCGACTCCGTTCTTCTCGATTCCAACCCCATGGATCCACGCAGATCCGCGCAAACACGCACGCATTTCTTTCTTTTGGTTGATGCAGCTACAGCCCTTCATCAACAGGACGCCAGCAGCATCCAGGGACACGGTGAACGGAAAGAAACGAGAGCAGCTATGACGCAAGATGACGCAAGAAAAAGAGAGAGAGAGTGAAAAAAAGGGAAGGAATAGAACATGAAAGAAAAAAAGAAAGAAAGCAAGAAAGAAAGGAAGAAAGAAAGAAAGGAATGAGGAAAGGAAAGGAATGAGGAAAGGAAAGGAAGGAGGAAAGGAAAGGAAGGAGGAAAGGAAAGGAAGGAGGAAAGGAAAGGAAGGAGGAAAGGAAGGAGGAAAGGAAGGAGGAAAGGAAAGGAAAGGAAAGGAAAGGAAAGGAAAGGAAAGGAAAGGGAAGGGAAGGGAAGGGAAGGGAAGGGAAGGGAAGGGAAGGGAA